CTGAGAGACACCGTAGCAACTCCTTTGCGTTTGGAAGCTGGGGGTGGGGGTGGGGGGAGGACCAGGGAGGATGATTTAACCACTCAACCACTAGATGTCGCTGAAAACAACAAATACACTGCGCCTTTAAAAACCAGATTCAGTCTAAAGCCATGGGATTTTTACTCATTTACTTCTCCTGTAGTGTAGGTCAGCTATGACTCCTAACTTTTCTCGTAATTTTGACATCCTAAAGAGACATGAACATTTTCACATGTAACTCAAAATTAGAACATTTTGAGTCATAGTGACTAACATTATCACGTTACACATTTAGGTTTGGTTTGATATCTGTGTTGAAGTTTAGTTGCTGACTAAATCTGACACCATGATAGACAGGTCTGAAGAAAGGGAAAAGAGAGGGRAAGTAGCTTAACGCTAAAGAGTGGTGTGTCCAAAAGAGTAATAATCCAAGTRCTGTTGTATTTTGCACTGAATGCCACCTTAACTTTATTTCTGTTTTATGTGTATTGATAGTGGTACTAAAAAATGTGGTTTATGTGTTAGTGAAGCTAATAGTTTGGTTAGCTGCACCACTATACTAAAAGTCTTGGTGACGTCACTGACCAGGTTCTAAATCCTGCTCCTGTAAGTGGGGCTGTTGCCGTGGTTAAACCCGGCTGTGCCAATTAAAATGCAGGTGAAGAAGAAGAAAAACAAACTCTGCTTCTGTGACAGTATGACAGCAGATTCTACTCACTTTTCAAACGGATTACACAGTCTTTTATCGTGGGAATGAGGCAGCAGCAGCTGTTTAATTTCCAGCCATATCTGAGAATATCACATTACCGGGTTCTTGATCTGCTTTTGCGAGAGAAATGGCGCGTTTTTCCACCCGCGGCTCGTGGCACCTGCCGTGACGTGAACGGGAGCAACGGTGGGCGCAGGTTAGAGCCCAATTACCCTCTTCCCAGCTGGAGCCGGGCTCCTCCGCCGCCCGCACGACATCTGAGCCGTAATGAATGTTGTGTTTGCCCCACCTCTGGCCCACACGCACGAGCCACCGCGGAGAAYGTGGCGCCTAATTTCTTAAACACAACAAAGCTCATCTAATTGAATTTCCTCTTCTCCGTGTGTTCCAGCTCTGTATCCGGCTGCATACAGGGTAAAGCGCGGGGCGTATTCGCTCATCAACCCCACATTCCAGCACTCGCAGGAGGATGCCGGTTTGCTTTTCGAGGTCAGTTTGGATCTTTGGAAAGTTTCGTATTTGCTGCTTGTTTTGGGAGAAATGAGTTTGTTGAGGATGAGCATCAAACCCTTCCAGATCCCACATCTGTGAATCATGGGTCTTGCTGCAGCTCTGCTATAAATTAGTTGAAGTGTGGAAAAAAATGTGCTTCTCCGTTGAAAGATTTAACGTTGTTTCTCTTCAGCTCACTTTTAGGTAGATAGTTGAATACTAATCAGTCTAAACTGCATTTAAATTGGTTGTAAGRGATTYYTGAGTATTTTTTGGCTGTTTTTTTATTTAATCTTCTAGATTCTTCTGTCCGGGATGCAGATCCGAGGCGACAACGACACCTTACTGATCCCAGACGAGGAGCTGGCTTCTTTACGAAGAGTTAAAGCGTTGGAAATCATCTGCGAGGATGTTCTGCCCAAGAAGCTCTCTGAGATCCGCCGCCTGACGGCTGAGCTGGCCCGGCGGCGACGGCCTCTCGGCTGGCAGGACTTCGAGAGGACCGTGCTGACTCTGGTGTACACGTCGCAGACGCTGGCCCAGACCGCGGACCCGTACCAGAGGGGGTTGTGGACGGACTCTTTGATGCAGCTGTTTCGGGCTGTTCAAAAAGACCTCCGACCCTCCTGAGGGAGAGTTTCATAAAGWTCAATACTTAGTTTTACATCACATCCTGAGAACGTACGTAAAATACTAAATTGGTTACATCTAGCTWGAAAAACTCTAAAACACGTAAGTTTGTGTTTGTCTGTTGGAGCAAGATATCTCATGAACCACYGGATGTTTTTTAAAGAAACTCCACAAACAAAGTCAGGCTTCTTATACTTGTTTTTTATATACTGATTGTCCAAAAATATCACTTCAAGGCTGTCAAGTTGGAACTCCAAGGGGTTATGCCTTTTTTTTTAGCTTTCCCACATGACACTAAATCAGWCTGCCAAGTAAATGTTTTATTTGCCTTTGGATAAACCAGAGGTGTCAAACTCAATTACACAAGAGGGCCAAAACTCGAAACTTGGTCGAAGTCAAAGGCCAGTTTCTGTCTGTATTTATTCAAAATAAAAAGTTAAATAACAAATTATTCTACAAAAACAAACTGCCTTTTACAAATTCTATTTTATGTAGCGTTTAGAACATACAAAACTGTCAGATAAAGAAAAAGATTAAATTTAAAGTCACGTTATAGGCATTCATTTATGTTTCACTCTCTATCAACAACTTTTTTAGTTAATATTTCTTAGAGATGTATTTAATCTCAATCCAGAAAATCAGTCATCAAAGAAAACCTTCAATAAAAATCAAATGTTTCGACTTTAAAATAAGGAGAATACAGAAAAAGATGAAGTCAATTGTGTTGCGCTCATATTAAAATAAAATAAAAATTACTGAAAAACTTGAACTTTCTTGGCTCGAACATTGAGCACCTGTCACAAGAACAATGCACTAAATACAAAGAKAAAAAGAGAAAACYRTTTCACATTTGAAGCATTTTCTTTGGGGGCCGGTTAACATGCTAACGAGGGCCAGATTTGGCACACGGGCCTTAAGTTTGGKGTAAACCGTCAGGCTTTCTCATGTGGTAAAACCCTGCTTGAATGTTTAATTTGTGTAATCTGTGAGTTTTAAAAGTGTTTCCTTGRAATCTGTAAGATTTTTATTCCGATCTGCCTGAAACTTTGTTTTCTTGATTTTAATTGTATTCGTTTTATGCAGTTATAACCACATTTATCCTGCCTTCAAACTAACGTCAGATTTTCCTTTCTAACAACTTTTACAATCCATTTTGTTTATGAGAATGGGTGGATTCTGGCGTGTGTCCAGACAGCTGTTTCAGAACTGATAATGTGTAAAAACACAAGTTTCTAACTGCAGCTGTTGGTCTGTGAAACAATTTAATTTCCACCAAGTAAAAATCYAACTTTGACACCATGTAGATCGTTTATGATCCTGACAAAAGCAAATATGGCTGATTAGGGTTTGGCAACTTTACTTTGATCTCCTAAAGTTGGTTTCTTTTAAAATGTTTGGTAATTTTCCAGCAAAAGTGACACCGTTGCAGTTTTTATTACAACGATCTTTGCAGATTCCAAACATCAGGTTTTACTGACAAGTAACATGTTTGATCTTTCTTGCTTATTGTGTAAAAAAAATAAAACCAACCAAATGTCTGTCCTTGATGTTTTGTTTTTGTGTGAGAGGAGGATGGTCTYATTAATCAACGCGGCCCCCGTGAGCATCGGTGAACCCTCTGCATTCATTTCCAACACTCACTGAAGCTTATGGTCGTTAATGAAAACAGCATAATTAGACACAAAATGCTGGTTTTACCTGAGCTAACCTTATACCTTTTTATTCTTGATTATTAAGCTTTTTGACCCACTACAACAAAAAAAAGGTTTTAAAATTTTAATATACAGAGTTATTTTAAACGTCACAGCCAAGGGCGCCCCTGGCCCTCCCCAGTTTTATCCTCTAAACTCCCAAGCTTTTCCTTTTAGGCTCTACTTTCATTTCCCCTAGCTATTTAGGATTAATAGAACCTCATAAATATAAAAAAAAACTATAGTTT